CTATAAACTAACCCACTTTAATATCTTCAAGTCAGCTTGTAGTTAAACATTTTCACCAGTTATGAATGTAAACACTCAAAATAATATTCAAATCTAAAATAACTTAATCTGACTTAATTCTTTTGTAAATATTTTGTACAACACCTGATTTATATTTGTTTTGGTCCTGATCCTTGTACTACGGTGGCCGAGAAGGGTTAAGAAAATACAAACCTCATAAGGCAACGAAAAGTCACAACGGAAGTTATGCTAGTAACTAGCAAGTTTAATATAACTTCAGTTGTGGCTTTTTGGCGTTGCGTTTTGCATTTAGTCGACTCTTCTGGGCCACCGTACCTGTAGGAATGAATAAACCCTTTTGACATGTAACAAATTTCTACATCAGAATAACTATAAGCAATAACTTGGCAGCAAACCCTAAGTCATAAAACCACATGTCCTTACATAAGCACAGAAAATTATCAAAGTGGGCGTGAAATGCTCCATTAGAAAAGGAGACATGATTGGTGTGAAACATTCTGATGACTCCATTTTTACCAAAAAAAGGTCAGAGATGAAACAATTATAACTACAAAATCCAAAATAAGGAAGGAGCTAAAACGGACAACCAAAGAGACAGACAGATTGTGCACGTGTTGAGTTTGGTACCATCAATTGCATCCGAATCCAAGCCGAGGCACTCAAACTTTTGCTTCCACAGGGACATTCCTCTCACCTCACTCAGCTGATATAACAGAGCCTCAGAGCCGCTGCAGAAGACACAAAAAATGACATCTTAATAGAAAGAAATCAAAAATTTCCAGGTGCGTCAAAGAGACGACATACCTCTGTAGGTGGCTGATCACCAGTTTCTGGATGCTGGAATAAGAAGATTCAATGGACTGACCCAGTTTTTTCAAGCCCTGTCACAGAATGACACAAAATGTTTTAAATCCCGGTGCTTCTGGATGGGATGACCCAAATTCACATAAACGTAAAAGATTTTCTGATTTTACCTTGACGGTCAATTGGTTCATGAGGAGAGCCTGCAACTCGGGACTGGAAACACGAAACAAGTGAAAAAGCACTTTAACCAACTCAAAGTGTGTTGCTACCATCTACAGGCCACTGTAGATATTACAACACTATAATGTGTAATAAATAAATAAGAACAATAAAACACCTGGACTGCCCCCACAGCAGGAGGTCCAAAAACTCATCTTGGACTTGGGTGCTTGTGTTCTTTTCCTACAAGGGCAACAAAAGAATCAACAAGAACTGGATTTTAGTCCTTTTCTGGTGGAAGTATTGTAACCTGTAATCCCTTAATTTATATTCTTGTTTATCCCCGTTAGTTTCCACCAAAGTGATTACTAATCTTCCAGGGGTCCAACTGATAAAGCACAAAAATATTCATAAGACCATTTTGACATTAGAATATATCACATAATTAGTCAGACATCACATTATACACTTTGATAAAAACAAATTGGATTTAATAAAAAAAAGATTTCAGTGCTCTTTTAAAAAGAAAGTGTGCTTTTTAAATTTCTTTTGTTTTTAGGTAATTTATTCCTAAATTACCTGAATTGCTGTTTATACAATAAACTTTTGTAACAAATTTGCTTTAGCACAGGTTGCAATTAATTATATCACACAAGAGCATTTGACCTGCACAAATTTGGTGAGCCGGAGATCCATCTGCATCAGGATTTCCTCCCAGGCTTCACACATGCAGGTGAGTGAGAGGTGCAGGTACTGCAGGAGCGTGGAGATGTGGGTGAACTTGCGGGCCATTCTGGTGACCTCTGGAAGACAGTCCGACAACAAACTTGTGTCCAGCTGTCGCACGGCAACAATGACATAAAAAAAAAAATACAAAAAAAAATCCAGGTCAGAGCAGAAGAAGGCAACGAAGACAATGATGTGATGTGATGTGATCCGGCTCACCTGAACGTAGCAGATCTCCAAGACGCCATCAGCGGATTGGACTTCTGTAATCAGAGACAGGGACTTGAGATCGCTGGACAGACTCAGACTGCGGCATGATCCCGACACCTGCAGAAGATAAAAACCAGCTAAGTTCACCCAGTAAAATAACTAATTTTATGTAAGAAAAACTGACAAAATCACAGCATTTTATTACAAGCAAACAATTTTCAGTTTATGTAAAAACAATTCAAATTACTTTGATATCCTGAGTAAAAAAATAATTTAAAAAAGTTTCCATTTTTATAAGCTGATCATATTTTTGCAGGAGCATAAATCCTGTGTACTTTATAATTTTCTGGGGAATATAAATATATGATGTGATCGAAAGGTCCATTTATATCAGCCTCTGACCACTGGACAGGATAAGGAACCATAATAATAAAAAAAAAACCTCACCTCGCCAAGACTGGCAATTTTGTACATCCCATATGCATAAAGCTCCACACATCCAGCATCTCCTCCAAGAACAAGGATGTTCAGCCTGTTTGGTAGCAAGACAAAATTATAAACTGATTTAACAACCAAATAACTGTGCAGAATCAAGAATGTAATCTTTTATATCCAATAAGAAGCCCTTACCGAACCTCTCCGAGGAGGTTGAGGATCTCGTCAGACTTTTCCTCACTGTGTGGCAAGGACGGATAAACACAGTCAGCTTCCACTCAGACACCAAATGAGAAAATCGATCATTTCAATCTCACCTGAATATCTTTGAAGTAGTGTTGTAGCTAGTGAGGAAAGTTTGGATCATGTTACTTAGCTCAAAATAAACTTGCAGTCTTGAGGTGGAATGGATACTCGGTGCTTTTACCTCTTGGGGAGTGTTGGTAATTCAGGAAGGAAAAGCTTGGATTCATCCTCAGAGTTATAAAAGGAGCCAAGGGCACTGAAACCAAAGGAGAATCGTTTGCACATTTCTAGCCAGAGAACACGCATCCTGGTTTACATCGTGAGCCTGGGGCGCACCTGTTCTCCTCCACCACCTCCATCCAGTTCATGCAGGTTACCGAACTCTGTATTGGAAACATGTGAAGAATCTCTGCTTTCTCAACATCACACAGAACCACCTGCTTGGTGTCTCCAAGACTGAATGCCAAAACTGCCGATTAAAGCAAAAACCAAAAACATAATGGTCACATTATTTCATCAAACACGCAGGTAAATATATTCAAAGCCATCGTTTACTTTTGCCATCAGGTCTCCAGGCGAGCGCAGTGATCTCCTTCCCAGTGTATTCACTGGGTGCCAAACTCCAAACCCGCTGGAAACTCGCCAAGCGATGAAGTAGCAGCTGCGGAAAGTTATTGGAGTTAGAAACAAACAAAACTACTGCATACAAAAAGTCCTACACTCAGCCGTTCTCTGCATTTGAGCCCACCTCCCCTGTTGTATTAGCCAAAGCAATCAGGTCCCTCTTAGGAGACCACGCCATACACTTCACAGGGTTGGGAAGTTGCTTCTCTCCCACTTGCCGGAAAGCTGGCATGATGTTGCCTGGAAAAAGAGGAGAAATACAAACAGGATCTTAATTTTTTCACAATCCAGTCATGACTTAGTGCTGTAGTTTGTAGAGGAAAAAAAAATAGGATAATTTGGCCTTTCTTACTGCTGAACTGCTGTGGCTATACAGACTTACACTTTTTTTCTCTAGTATACCAATTATGTTGCATTCAACTTCAGGGCTACATGCAAATAGGGCTGTTACGATAACAAATTTTGCTGCAGCAGTTCGTGCAGTAAATGATAATTTTGTTTTGTGACCATTTTCAGGTAAGATATAGGTAATGGAATAACAATGGCAAGAACACATGAATAAACTTTGAATTCTGATAAACATTTATCACTGGAAACGGGAGACATTTTAAATATCCAAAAGAAATAAACAAAACAAGTCTGTAAACAACATTAAAAACGGGTAGGCGAGACCAATGCACCAGACTGACGACTTTTATCATCCAGTTTTTGGTAGAAAGAGAGAGAGAGAGAAAAAGAAAAAACAATAAATCATGCAAACGAAAATTATTGAGTTTGCTTCAATTTGTCTTGCCATGCGATGGATGATTTAACAAAGATAAAATGATACTTCAGTATATGGATGACTGATGGGAAGAAGCTGACATATTGAAAGATGAAGTTGCAACAATTTCGGCCCATAAAAGAAACCGGTTTGGGGAAATGTTTATGGCTCCAAGCTGCCGTAAGATTTGACAGCTGGTCAAACAGACCCAGAGGCCGGGCATCTTACTCACCTTTAAGGAGCTGCTCCACCGGGGAACCGCTGTGCTGCTAGCAGGCTGGTTAGCTTTAGCCTCTGGAAGCTAAAGCAAAGAGAGAGACAGTTACGTCACCGTCTCGTTCCCTAAAACTGGCGGAAGCTAAAGGACAGCATTAACTTCTGTAAAGCGTCTCAAGAGTCTTACTTTAGTTTTTCGTTCTATTATTTCACAGATGCACAGACGCCGCCATATTTTCACTTCCACCAATCAGAGCAGGAGTGACGGGACGTGAGAAAGGTCAAAACTTCTCAACGGCGAAAACTCGATTGGTAAATAGAGAAGAAGTGTCGAGATGGAGAGTCTGGTAAAAGTATTCATTTCCTTTCAACTTTTCACACATCGAGTTGATGTAAAAACTACAACGTTTAATGTATGTTTCACCAGGTAATGCACGACAAGAACAAGTGGTGCATAACTGAACTATTAACTAATGAAAGTAGATTTTTGATGTTTAGTTCAGGCTTGTTTTAAACTGAACATTTGAATTTATGTATTTTTTTCATATCTTTTAGCTTATAGTAATTAATATTAAAACTATAATTAAATAGAAAAATAAAAACATAATATCCTCCACACCCACTTAACATTACTTTGTGTTGCTCTAAATGTTTTAGAGGTATAAATATTTTGCCAGTCACTGCAGGATATTGCAATTTACAGTCATGGTCAAAGGAAAGCTGGACATTTTCCAGTTCTACTCTACATGCGTCTGAAAACAGATCTATGCCTTTATACTATATTAAGAAGTTACTACTGAATAATGCAGTTATTTCTTGACATCTTACCCAGGGAGCTGATTGCTGTAGACCAACACACAAAGATAATCCCAGGTTGCTCATTAGTTGGTGGACAGCAGGCATGCGTGATGACAGTAAAAAAATTCCTTCTGGACTTATCACCTGCACTTAACGGTAATCAGTAGATTCAAGAAGAACCAGAATAGCTCAAGGAGCACAAAATGTGATAGCGGACCAGAAATAGACCAAGTGAGGCCGTATGATCCCCAACAGCCTGACTGTATGACAGACGGTTTTATCGTGGGTCTGAGGTGTCTTTTTAATAACAGATGATTAAGAAATTTGAAAAATGCATTTACTGGATGAATAAACAGCTGAAAATACTACTTTAAAAAATTGCACATTTTCCTGAACTTTAGCCTAAACACTGGATCGTGAAGATTATTGGGGGAAATAAAAGCAGTTGAGCGGTCCGGGTCATGTGGTCGACTCAGCTGGAGAGAGAAGCAACACTGTTGTCTCTTCAGGTGCCCTAAGAAGACAAAAGATAGTCATGAAGGCCTACCCTTATCCCAGTTTTACAAGCTTAGAGCAGCAGAGTAGTGTCCTAACATTACGACTGTCTTTGCCCACTGTGCTTAATTAATACCAGATCAGTGCAGAAAATGTCACCTCCACCTTCTGTTCCTCTTGCCAGCAGTCTGGCTGTGTAACATGAGTCAGGGGCCAAATATAGCCCCACACAGTGAGCAGCTAGGGACCGGCACAGATGGGACAGCAGCAAGCTGCACAGGCAGTAAGCAATTGGACCCTGAACCTGAGAGAACCTGCTGACCGTCTGACCAATAAGGCGAGGGATAGAGAAGAGAAGCTTCATTTTGTTTCGTTCCCACATAAACAAGACAAACCTGGACCCAAAGAACAAGGGAAAAACTTTCAGCCACACAGGGACACTTGAAGGTAAATATGAATTTTTAAATGAATCATATTTTAAGGACTAGTTTCTTAGTTGTTTATCAAACAGTTCAAATCATTTAATTCTGTAGTAAAGTGTTTCAAAGAAATGTTCTCTGTACATCAGTGGGTGTCAGGTTATTCCAAGGTTAAAACTTCCTCTTATTTTGAAGTACACTTTGCCTTCAATGCATCAAATGGTCAGATTGTAATGTGTAACCATGTTCAGCATGCATATACTTAGTAATTAGTGTGTACAAAACACAGTATTTTCAAAATGAAACATAAAATACAGATTATGTCGATTATTGTCACAGATTTTCCTCGTTCACATTGAATCATATCTGTGTAGTTGTTGTCACTCCTTTTAGACAAATTGATTCTGTGGAAGTCTTCTGTGTTTTCGCTCTGGCTCAAAGGTGATTGTCTTTGCTTGTTTGTAAAAATGTCTCCACACTCACTCACAAACACTCACACACACGGATACCTGTGTGAGTGTTTGGAGGTAGAGGCCCCACTCCTTCTGCTCTGGGTGGGAGGGGGCCGCGGTGCTGCTGTGAAACAGAGCCGCAGGGGATTATAAATAACAACAGCTGGTCTTCGGGACGCCATGAGGCTCTGAGCGTCACATCATCCGCATATCAAGTCCAAAGGTTTTGCAGCACATTATTCACAAGCTCAGGCTCAGAGGAGATCCGCTCAAAGAGCAAAGCAAATCTGCTCTGTTTTGACTTCAAAAAAACAAAAAAACAATGCTTTACCAAAATTTAATAATGCTATAAGAGTAATTTAGAATTAGGCCACATGCATGCTTGGATTATATTTAAAGTTATTGTTTTTCTCCACCTTTTGTTTATGCAATAACATTTTACACCAACGGTGAAATGTGTTTTCTGTAGGCCAGGCTGCAAAAGCAATGAACTCAAAAACACTTTAGGATTCATCCATTTCAATTTCCATTCATCTAGTTTTAATAATATTTATCCAGAGCATTCGGATCAAATGCATGTGTGGCTCATTCAGCTAATTCAAAAGTAAAACAAAAGTAAATTCTATATATATAAAAAAGAAAGAACTTATTAAAACTTAAAGCATTTTCCTAAAGTTTATGTTGTTCAAGATAAACTAAATGCATTTATTAATTTGTGATAAATACATCTTTAAGTCCAGACTTTGACTAGACTATGCCATAATCTTCTTTTTTGCTGGCATGCTTTAGATTTGTTGTTGTTTTTTTTTGTTTTTTTTTAAATGTACTAATAAAAATAAATTAGTTTTTGCAATACAAAAAGTTATTTTTGTTTGATGCTGAAATTTGTTTGATGACGTGAAATATGTAAGTGAAAAAGGAACGACAGCCAAAGTATTTAGCAAAGTATTTAAGGACACAAATACTCATTCACACCACTATTCTTTTGCTTTACCTTGATAAGTTGATGAGCACCAACACTGTCAATTGGAAATGGACAATGTTCCGTTTTTCTTGGATATAAATGTGTCTCCTCAAAATGGGTAAGACAAGAGAACTTGCCATTCCAGTAAATCACAGGAAATAACTCGACAGTCAAAGCAATAGCTCAAAACAACTTGAACGTTGACAAACAAGGCTGGACAAGGACTCCAGTTAATGTTAGCAAGTGAGACAAAAACATCTCTAACGATGGAAAAAAAAAATTGCAGCAAGGGACACCAAGTCTGCACAACTTTTTATTTTAAGACTTTTATATACAACGTTACCAATAAATGCCAATAATTCTGGAACCTGTTTTAGTGATGTGATGAAATGTTATGTTGTGTGACGACTGTATGTTGAACTAGACACAAGGCAACAGAGAAATGTCAGCAATGTGGACCAGAACCTGAGTAAAGACCTTTGCTAATACCCACCAGCTGTGTCCAGACAGCAGCGCCTTGAGTCATCCTGCCAGTTATGGCTGTCTGAGCAAATGATACACTACTGTATTATAAAAATTTTTATTTTAAACTGGACCTGCTGTCATTGCCTTTTTGCAGATGAATATGTCATGTACAATGAGTCCTCTTTTTGCCTGCACCATAAACACCCAAATGGTCTGATTAATGTCTTTCAGGATGCAGGACGGGAGTTGGAATCAACCACTCCCCATTTCAGTGCTGCTCAAGGATCCAGCAGCAGGTGGGACTTCGGAAGGCGATGCAGGTGTTTTTTCTGAGGCCTCCTCTGATGGAGAACTCTACCTTGACTCGTCGACAGAGCTGGATTCTGGACACGGGGACTTTGCAGATCTGACTGCCTTCTTGAGTGCGGAGGAGATTAATCTTAGCCTGGACCTGGCCCGGGAGGCCTTCGGTGAGGCGGATGAATGTGAAGATCAGGACCCCTCTAGTCTTAAACAACTGGAGCAGGCTCTCCAATCTGTCCCTTCCCCCCATGTTGTGCCCTCTCAAACGACTGAAAACCTCAACTCAAGCCCAAGCCTACACCACCAGACCAAATCTGTTTGCCCCGATGACAATGGAGCAGTTTCAGTTTCCTCCAACCAGATTGCTCCCATCAGCAAACCCGTACAGATCTCCAGTGAGGCTCCGTCCTCAGCTGAGAAGGTTGTACGGCACAAGTCCATCCAGCCCGTGTACAAGCAAGACAAGCCCAGGCTGGTTCACGAAGGCCTCGAGCTGAACGGCCGAGCAGCTTCGGGCACAGAGTTCTGCAGTCGGGCAGCCACCTTCATTGAGGAACTGTCATCCGTTTTCAAAAGTTCTGCTCAGCAGGCAGAGGAGGAATCCTCCTCTCCTGACAGTGGCTACCTGTCTCCGAGAAGCCAGCGGACCGTCCCTCAAGGCTCGATGTCCACTTCCTCCCTACCTGAAGGCCAACAAGAGGGCACACACAATAACCCGCCGGAGATGGGAGAGGGGGGTTCGGAGCTTCCCCTGTCCCCACCTCAGTTCCTCCAAAAGCTGAAGAGTCAGGAAGTGGCTGAAGGCAGCCCCATTCGTCTGGAGTGTAGAGTTCAAGGAAATCCACTGCCTCTCGTCAGGTAGGCGGCTGCACCTGTCTTTTGATCCTATGCTGCAGTCGGTTTTTAACGGCTAAAGTATTTAATTCTAGTGTAGGTTTTTTTAAATCATATTTTTCCAAAGTAAAATTATATAAATACTTTGCCATAGATTGGTTTCTCTTTTTTATTATTTTTATTATTTAGAAAGACAGATTTCCATCATATACAATAATTATAGCGTTACCCATTTGAGGTCATACATGAGGTGAGAAGCATGGAATCCAGGTGACTTTGTCCCTATTGCCTTTCTGGTATTTTCTTCAACAGATTTTTAATTGTGAACGATAACAAAATTGAACAGAATTAAACAAAACAAACAAATGAAAACACCCAGACATTTTTGTGAAATCTGGAAAATTAGCTGTTTCAAAATCTACTGTGAGAAAAAAAGACAATCATCTGCTGTGCTGTGAATGGGTTTTTGACCAGACGTTATACTTATCAAACTTAAACTGGATTGCAATTAGATTACAATTAGGCCATAAAAAAAATACAGTTCTATGCTAAATGGATTTCATTAAAGGACGCAAGTGTTTGCTTGCATATGGGACATTCGTAGAGGGCATATGGAGCCCAAAAGTAGGAAACCCGTCCAGGGTGCCGTTGATAGATGAAGGCCAAGGCTGAAATCAACGGTTAGATGTGCATAAACCCCAATATGGGATTAATATGGCTGCATAGTGTTGAGAACATCTTGTAAAACTATTGTCACTCAGCACACTCAATCAGTGCATCCAAAAATGTAACCTGAGGCGCCGTTTATTAACTCTGTGCTGCAACGCTGCTGAGTCCTCGGCACCATCTGACCCCAGACGCACGGAAAAACAGCAAACACTTGTTCTGTGGTCAGATGACTCCACGGTTCAGCTGCTTCTGGGACAAAGCAGTTCAATCAAGGATGATGAAGATGAGTGACTAACTATAAGCTTTCATTTGTTTCACTTTAATCCACTGTACTGGGTTAGTTTTCTACAATATCGTCATGATCTTTGCAGAACAGTTGAGTATCAGCCTGAAAAAGGTCAACACAACATTAAGTGAATCACTCTCCTCCATTTGAATATATATTTCTTTTTTATGAAATTGAAGTTCAGTTTCTGGCTTGTGCACACAAACCTGAATGATAAACGTAATTCTTCCTCTTCATAATTCTGCATTTCTTAGTGTTGGTCTGTCACATAGAATCACAATAAAATACATTGTGTTTGTAATGCGACTAAACACTTAAAGGTTTTGTATGGAAATCTTTTGCAAAACCACCTAAACAGTCTTTTCTTTTGTAGTCAGTTCATGATAAATGTTATCATACGTGAATAATAATTTCTCGAACAAAAATAGACGTATGAAACTAATATATCCCAGATTTTTAAAAGGATTTTGAGGGTAATTGGACTAAGACCTTACACTGTTTTTAAAATCCTTTTACTTTTTAACAAAGTGAGTCTGTTACGTGCCTTCATATCGTTTCTGATCATCTTTTTGCAAGTTTCCACTGGTGTTGCGTTTGGGTTGATTAGGAGTTTCTCCCTTCACATTGAAGTTGCGAACATCTCAACTTCATAGGGTTAGGAAGTGAAAAATAATTTAATGATGTAATAATTTCCAGGTCTTTTCCAGTGAGCTTTGTGTTTATTTTAGTAGAAACATTGTTGTAACAGAGGCTTTTTATCTACAGAGGATGCTGTTACTAGAGTGATATTATTAGAAACACACAACCAGCAATTCACAAATATAATGTCAATATAACTGAGGCAAAATTTACAATTATTTTCATTGGTTAAATTTTTTAATTAAAGTGAAGTTTGGTGATTGAAAACACTGAAAGTGTCTCTTTGTGTACTTGGGTCTATTGGATAAAAGTTTGCCCAACTTAAACTACAGATTATTTTATGGCTTTTTTCCATTACAAAACCTGAGGTCCATAAATTTAAATATTTTCCATTAATTAGTCTGAATAAAACAATATGGATTCTCTCCTGAGTTGCTTAGGAAAACCTGTTTCTTTTTTTAATAAAATTTAAAGAAAATGAAGCAAAACCTGCGCTGACCTTCAGTATGTGAGTCAGCCTGGGAGCCGCGGTGTTGCTGATGTTGACCAGAACCAGATCCAGCCTCGCCGGCTGACTGTCGCAGATAAAGTGAGTGATTTGGGAGGGGGCCAGATGGTGAAAGCTACCCCTGTGTTGACAAGTCGAGCACCTGGTCTGAAGTTTGGGGAACTTCCACCCAGTGTTGGCACATTTATCCAGTCAGAGTGATGCTTCATTTATAGAGCCTTAACCCCCCTGAACTTTCCACAGTTTGTCCCATTACAACCACAAACATTTAAATATCTTAATGGGGCTTGGTACCATTAAGAAGGAAAGGGATGAATGATTTTCAATTAATGCTTTTTATTTTTCTAAACTTGTAAATCTTTTACATTATATGGGAAAATTCCAAATTTTATCTGGTCAGATGAAACCAAAATGGTTTGTGTTTTATGTTGTTATCTGTGGTTGTGGACTGCACAACACCCACAGTAAAACATGGTGGTGGCAGCCTTATGCTATGGGGTGCTTTGTTCAGCAGGGTTGAGACCGTTAGAGTTGATGGAAAGGTTAAAAAGCTAAATAAAAGCTATCCCTGAAGAAAACCTGTAGTAACTTAAGACTTATTTTAAGTTACTACAGGTTTCCTGCTTTTCTTGGCAGAAACATCTGAGAAGCAGAAATCATTTGTGCTCCTTTGAATTGGTCTGCCACATAAAACGTCAATGAAATTAATTAAAGCTGGTGATTGTATTGTGTCAAGATGTGAAAAAAAGTTTTGTTACTTTGCAAAGAGATCAGCTAAGAGGAGCATGACCTGTGTTATTTGAAGCACTTCATCAGTAAACTAAAAATACTCAGCTCTGTGTTTTTTCTAGATCTCACAGCTCAGGCTCTGAGCTCACTGTTTACTAGAGAGACGTACCTGAACAAATGAGTCTATTTGAAACTATTTGATCGATTGGGTTTGGCCTTCTCTTGACTGAGTTCCTATAATATGCGTATTGATTATACATCCAGTTTGTGTACCTTTGAAGATCATATCTGTAGGTGAATCCGCACGTAAATCAAAAAGATACAGCTCAGGATGTGTATCTCCCCTTTTTGACTGTGAGGGGCCTCTTCTTTGGCCGTATAAATAGGCGTCAAGGGAGCAGGAGCCAAGCACAGGAATGTGTGCAATCCAATGACTAGGCATTTTCAGTCTAGACTCCACATCTCCCCACACCTTCTTGGGAAATATGAAGCATGTTTGACTGCACAGGAGCAGGAGAGTGGGGTCGCTGCAGCAGCACCTACGTTATGCCGCATTACATAGAGAACTGAAGAGGGGAAGTTCTCAAGAGATAAAAGACTTTGAAAAGCTGTTTTCTGTTTTGTGGATGGCTTTTATCACATTTAAATGTTTCAGATCCCCAAACAAATCATGTCAGACCAAGTTTCAGAATGGAGTTTTCAAGTAATGATTTCACTGATTAAAGCAACATCATGTAAAATTGACCTTTTCTCTTTTTTTTTTTTTTGTTTCACATCATGATATAATCAAAAACATGCCTGGAGTGTTGCGTAGATGTTTTTCATTCTTGTTTGAGAAATTGTTTAATCTCCTGTGGCAACCAGTTAGCTGTGCAAAACGCTGAGAGGAACTGAGTGCTACAGTCGAGGCAAAGCTTCATCCCGGAGCTGCAGCTGCCAATCCTCCCATCTCGCAGTGCAGCCTTCCCCGGTGACTCCCCCACTTAGCTCCTACAGACTAGCCAGCAGCAATTAGCAAACACCTGGTGGAACTGAGCATCTGCTGAGCTCATCATAGGAGCTGCCTCTCAGTGAAACGCTGGTAAAAATGTTATTAAAGAGGAGCTGTGTTGTGATTACGCCCTGAAGACAGAGTTTCAGAAAGAGCAAGAGATGTTTAAAGAAACAGAAGCTCAAGTCCAAGGCGTTAATTAGGAAGTCAAATTTTAAGTCATGTTTGACATTTTTGTAACAACTGAAGGTAACAGTTGTTTGTTTGGGCTATAATATGTTTGTTTGGGCTATAATATGATCCCATATTGTAATATTATAGCACAATCGTGGCTTGAAAACACGTAATATTGTCTGTTTAAGGGGGAAATAGCTACTGTACATAAACAAGCCTGAACTCTGTACAAAACCATAACTGCTGTCTAAACCCAATAACTGACTGTGCCACCCTGACATCCAGCAAATACTACACCAGACAGTACGTGTTTTACATCGCTGTGGAGGAATGTTTGCCCACTCTTCTTTGCAGAGTCGCTTTAATTGAAACAACCAAGAGGGCTTTTTAGCAGGAACTGCCTGTTTAATATCATGCCAGATGAATATAGTTTGACTTGACACGCTTATTTTCAAGTCATTCAGAGGTGTACTTCTTGCTCATTGTCTGGCTACATACCTTAAGTGAGCTTGAATTTAGTGGAAAATCTTCAGTCTCCTTCACAACACAGTCTATCTGTCTCAATTATGGCAAAGGGAGCAAAGCACCACCAGACTATTAGTGCCATGTTGTTTTTCTGAAATTAGGTCTTAGTTTTATAAATGTACCAGGACACAGCCAATAAGTTCCTCCTTCTTACTGTCGAACCAGAGAATATTCTCAACCGGCCTCAGTGATCCTCCAGCTGTTTTTGGAGCAATGTAAGATGGGTCTTTGTGTTCTTCCTGGTCAGCAGAGGGTTTTGAATTAGACAGCGTCCATGGATTTGGTCAGTCTCTTTCTGATAGCTGAATCTGTTTAAATGAATTGTGGTGACTGAGGCCTGCAGTGCTTTGGGTATTGTTCTCAGTTTGTTGTGATCTGCTGACTTCTTGGAGCCATTTGGTTAGCCTGACGCCACCTCGGAAAGTTCACTGTTCTGTTTCCTCCATCTGTGGATAATAACAAACCTTAGAAGTCCCTTTCTAATCCTTTTCTAAACTGATAGA